CAACAACACTGCTCTCCATAGCTATGCATAGAACAAGCTCCTTTGAGTAGGAAGGATGAGAGAGCAACATCAAGTTGGCCTAAAACAACATCTGCCCCAAAACCTCACAAAAAAAGGTAAAAATTACCATTAACACTCTGAGCTCTCCCATTCCCCAAATAGATACCGTTCTCACTGGGAAAAAGCATCTCAGATATTCAGGAGTCTTGAGCAAGATGCTCTTAGTGACAATCCATCAGCTTCAAGTTTTAGATCATAACAGCAGGAACTCTTGAGGGGAAGCCAGGGTGGGAGAGGAGAGGATATTAAATCTATCACCCCTTTAATAAGCCTGGAGATTACAAGATGAAGTAAATCAAATTTATCCTCAAAACGCATGAAAACTGTATATCGTGACACAGAATTTTTGCAAAGACTAAGCTCTTAAATTGTGGAAAGTATTCTAGGGAACCCAGACAGAAAAAGAGCAACTCTTTTACAATGTGTTCGGAATTACTAAAATCAACATACAATCTTTGAAAGGCTGTCTTTTAAGACAGTCTGAGCTCTCGAGGCAAGATGTAGCTGAAGAAAAAGAAATCTTTCCTTTAAGTTGAAGTACCTGTTTTGGAGAAGCTTTCCATGTATGAGAAACCATTGGCAGGCTAGTTTTCTCTACCCAGCAGCACAGGACTCTTACACCAGTGTTTAGAAGGCTGCTGTGGAACCAGGAATATAGTAGACTGAGTTAAATATTGACATATGGCCCTGGGTGTCCGAAGTACTGAACTGCATGCTTCTCATTGCTCTTGGCATTCATGTTTTGCTTCAGTTCCTGTCAGTGTGGCTACCTGGTATCGCTGCTTCAAAAGACAGCCTGCACTGCTTACAGATTTCTAGGTGGATGGTTCTTCCTCTGCGTTCATCTGCCCAACATGGGGGAAGGCGCTTGCTGGTCTTTGTTTTGGACGTGCAAGTCTCATTACCTCTGAGTAAGAGAAAATTGCATACTTTTTCACTAAGGACAGTGTCTTACTTCAGATCCCTGTTCTATATTACATCGCAGAAAGCTCAGAGAGCACTGTATTCCCCTGGAATCTCTATCTATATAAAGCTTACGTTGTCAGGAAGGTATTCAAACAACCAAATGTTCAGAGGTCATCACAAGAGCGAGTAGTCCAGCCAAACCAGGCTGATACGCATGTGTATGCATATGTGCACATGCAGGAAGAATAGAGGGGAAGCAGAAATCTACAGGAATACCATTCCACAGAGCGTAGTTCTGGGCAGTTTACACTATAGCAAAATGTATTTTCAACATCAAAGCAGTAGAAACACTGAGGAGGGACAGCTTTCTTTGCAGGTTATGAACATTTACTGGTATTTACCACAGAGGTTCATTAAGATAAGCAACGATTAGGACTTGCCATAAGACTAACCACTACATAGCAGTTAGAAACAACAGTAAGATGGTCTTGATTTACATGTTTTTCTGGAATGAAGAATTCACAACCCACTGACTACAGTCAAAATGCTCAACTCAAAAATATACACTGTGTAGACTGAATCATGGATTTCCCACTTGCCTGTAATGGCATTCAGAGAGGAAAAGCCATTTCTTCCAAAAGGACCAGCTAAAAATTTTCCAAGGAGGTCAGGAAGGTAAAAAACTGAATAGCATACACACCAGATACATCCAAAGCAAACAGCAACCTGTAACTATGTACTCACTCCTCTAAGAGCAGACAAGTCTGAAGGAAGATGGGCGGTAGGAAATGACTGCATTGCTTAGGGTAATACGTACCCAAGAAACCCAAGAACCTTTCTCCAATATTTTCCTTTAGGTGGCTTCATGTTTGAGCCCACTGAATGAAGAGCCCTTACTTTTCTGTGTTCAGTAGCCACAAGGTCTTTGATGGTCTTAATACAGCCATGCTGCTAAAGTCTTTACTATGCTGTAGGAAACTACTGATTCTTTCCAGAGTAAACAATGAAAGCAAATCTGTAAGAATCTCATGCATGGTTTTCATTTTCACAAAAGGTAAACAATGGCAACCTAGCCTATTAAGCAGCCCAAAATTTATTCATCAGGGCAGGTACCAGTGCCCTTTGAGGAGTCTGACAAGAAAAATCTTTTTGCTTAGGAGAAGCTCCCTTCTATCAACACTTTTCAAGAACCTTCCTCCAGAAAAGCAAGTCCTGTACCTGTCTGTACTCCAACCCCATTAAAATCCATTACCTGAGAATCATGCCATTAGCAGATTCCCTGCACTTGACCCTGATCCCTGCCCTCAAGAAAACAAGCAGAACAACTGTCTTCCTGGATCCTTGGAGGACCCATATGCTCTGTTACATATGCTATTTGTTATATATGTACCTATGTTACATGTACAAAATTGCTTAATTGGAAATGGATCCAAAGGAAGCAGAATTCTTTAACTCAATTACAGTGTCTGATAAAAACAGGCTTAGAGTTTTATTGGTTTGATTTCTTGAATACTATTTGATGGCATTACCTCAAAATCTGTTTCAGAAGGAAAATACCTCTAAGGCCATGGAATAAATCTGTTTCAGTGCCAGAGAGCTCAGTATTTCTTTCACACCTGTGACAAGAAAAAGGACTAAAATTCTAAGGAAGCTTTTTATATTTTTTTTTCTGGAATACAGAGGAAGACAACAGGACACCAATCCTGGAGCAATTCAAGAGGCACTCATACTCATTTTTCATGTGTTTGTGCCCAGGATATTATAGCTTTTTATATGTACGAAAGTGTATCTTCCAAAAGGAAGTAAGTCCAGGCTGGGCCTGGCTCTGACACTTCTCAGGGTACATGGTGATTTAATAGCTGGTCACACAGAAGATGAGCAAGCCAGACATGTAGATTTTCTTTCTGAACACTTCCCATTTGCATCTGAGATGGAATGAGAGGTTTTGTTGCACTTAAGTCCTACATTACAGGACCCTTAAGCTCTGCAACAGCAACTTAGACTGCAGCTGGCACACTGCATTTTTTTTTTCTTCTTTTCTGTATAGAAATAGCAATAAAAGCAAAACAGAGATGGCCTCTCACTAGTCTGTATTTGTAATGCAGACACAAGGCATTATGATTTGTTCAGGAGAGCAATCTTCAGAGAATACACCATTCTACCCAGTAGCTTCCACAGCTACCACATGATGCAACCATCTGGTCCTTTAACAACTGCCTTTTGTATGTTCTTGCAAGGAGTCTGGCAAGAGATATCAGAAGGAAATGCTCCTGCAAATCTAATGGATCTGCTGCTGGTAACAAGAACAGCACTGGAAGGAGGCACAGTATGAAAAGTACCAATACACTCATGAGTGTTCAACCCTGCTAGACTCACATACATCTTTGATATAGACCTGTACTATTAAGTACTGAAAGTTAGCTGAATCACATATCAGATCTGTGATAGGTCAGAACAGATCCAGAAAAAACAAGATACAACTTGAGTCCTGTATCATAAAATTTCAAAACTGAGGATGGTTAATTTAACCAACAGTGAGAAACCAGAGCCTATAGGCTCAAGTGGTTTCTCAGCACGAGTGAAGCACATCTATTCCTACTAAGCTGAAGATCAGAATCTGACCTTTGGAAAGGACATACCAAGGCTTAGGCCCCAATACTGTTCCAGCAGCACAACCAAAAGTTGAGGGAAAATGATAGGACAGTTTAATATTGGCAAGTTCAACTAAAATTTTAATCTAGACCAAGGAAAAGGACAAATTAATAAAAGCTACAATAAGCATCTACAGCAAACTCACTTTTCATGCAACTTGTTCATGTGCCTTCAGACCTACTTTAAAAATTAACACCACACACAGATGAGCTCAGCCTGCTATCCACCGTGGTTAACAGCTCAGCTTCTTTTGCTGAAGAAGGTATCAGTTCTTCAGCATGCCTTGTGTGCAACTCACACAGTTCATAAGGCAACATTCATTGCAACGTCTATATGCTAGAAGACTCACAGCTCTGTTCACAGAAGCTCTTTACAAAGTTTTATAATTTCCCAGATCTACTACCACGTTCAAATGGAGGCTTGACATAATGTATGCTAAGCAATGTGCTTCACTTCTGTGCTTTTCTTATTCTTTTCTTACGACTCCTTTTCATCATCTTTTCTCTCCCACTCAGACTTTTAGCTCCCTCCTGTTCAGAGCAGCAGATCATTGCTGCTTTGTCCAGTGTCACTCAGCAGTGGAGGAAACTGAAGGCTGGCTAAAGTGTCAGGTGTTTTTTGTTGGGTTTTTTTTTGTTCGTTTTTACTTGACTAAACAGTACACCTACTTCTTCCTGACATCTAATAAAGGAGAATTATAGGAGGTTTCCAAACTTTTATATCATTCACTCCCTCTTCCAAACTTCTTCCTCATTTTCATAATTTCATATATCACCCCTAAGATATCTTCAAATGCCCTCTTATAAACCTCCTGATATCCCTGATGTTGCCTGCACCTAACTAATACCTTTTTCTTTTACATCAAGATGTGTTTTCATTTCTGTAAACTATTCAGACGAAATAAGCTGCAATATCCTGCTGTTTAACCAAGCTGTTTTATCTCAAACTTTTCAGACATATTCAGTGAATGTTTAGAATAACCATCCTATTCTTATTGGTTTTTAAGAGCAGAATAGCTTCCTGAGCTAATGCAGGAAATCTAACACCAGTAATCTATTAATAATCCAGATAGCTAGTACAAGAAACTAAACAGAGCCAGTGTAATTTCAGTCCACAGTAAATGAAGGGCACAAATAAAAATAAATTTAATTTCTAAAGCTGGAAAATTATGTGATATAGCAATACCCTTCTTAATTCTTGCAGTGCATAATATTTTAATAAGACTACAAATACAATCATTTGTTGGATTCCCAAAGTAGCATGCCCTTGGGATCCATACCAGTTATACATGGGCACAAAATATTTTCCCTTACCTTTCTTCTTTATCAAAAAAATAAAGCATTGTCTTATTTCTTCTTGCTGCTTTGATGAGGCCTACTTACCGCTTCAGAATTATCAATGAAAGGGTCTGTTTCATCATAACCATAACCTATATCAATTAGATCCTGCAGGCGATCCTTCCGATGTTTGTGGGGCTTTCCACCCTGAAAACAAAGCAAGAGTTTTATCATTTGGGAAATGGGGAAGCAAAGTACTAAAGTCTACAAAACATAAGGCAGTGGAGGGATGGTCATTTAGGGAATTGGCAGTTTTGCTTCCTTGGATGCTTCCTTGAAGATGGTCTAGATGACTAATAAAAACTTATATACAGGAACGAGTTCTGGCAAACATGCTTTACTACAGGCTCACCAGAATCATCCCTGAAAGGTATTCACCAGCCACCTGGTTTCTGCATGACCAAGATCTCCCTAACATTTCCTCTTTAGAGATGTTTCACTGTCCTATGTCTTTAAAACAGTGATAGGACTTACTGATAGAAGGCCTGGGATAATTTAGAAAGTGTTAAGTTTTTCAGTATGTTAAGAGTCCCTACGAAGGAAAATACTGATAGCCTAGCATTCAGTAAAGTGTTTCCCCACACAAGATGGATTGCTTCTCTACAGAAAAGCAAAGCCTAAGTCAAAACAGAAAAATATTGATCTGGTACTTGCAGATACGGTGTCTATAAGTTTTCAAGATGTTACAGCATTCATATGACCTAACTGAAGAAAAACATATTAAGATAAAATCCTTTGAAATGCAAGAGCTGTCACCTCAATCAATAGGACTGGACATGAAATGGTTACTTGAGTAACTTAAAGCCAGAAGCTGCATCACAGACTGCGGGCTCACTTACCTCCAGAAGAGAGTAAACTTCATTTTAACCTATAAGTACTTTTCTCATATGAAAGTTTTATTGTTAAATCAAGTCAAATAAAAACTCACACCCAGCTCAAACATTCAGGGAATCTAAACGTAGTTATACAAATGGGAATCTGCTTAGTATACAAGGCCTAAGTTTTCTGACTCCCATATATTGTCAAAATTGTCAACATAAAAGTCTTCAAAGATAAAATTCTCCAAAAGGCACCACCTTCACTAAAAGGGTAACCAGTGTTCTTCCATGAATTCAAGACGACTTGCTCCTGAAACTTCTCTGCCTGTACTCTACAGTTCTAAGCATGTTTAGCATAAGTACGAGTCTTTTCAGTTGTGACATCCAAATATCACAACCCACTTGTTACTATGAGTATGCAGACACTGTTCAAAAGAGGTTCCATCCTTGCTCTTTTATGAGAAGCGTAAGCATCTGAACACCTCCATTTTAACATTTTGCAAGAATTCAAGTTTGTGAATTTATTTAACTTATTCAACTATTTATTTAACTTATTCAAGTAAAGCATGTGCTCTTGCAAGAAAACAGAAATCTCTCAAGTATAATTAAATAACAAATGCAATAGCCCTAAGAAAAAAAAACTCAAAAGTGAATTCCGGTTTTAATTCAGGTTTCCAAGCTATATTCAAAGCCTCAGGTTTCCAAGCTAAGTATTCCTAATTTTTCCTATCAGTCCTATCATCCCTTACAGTCACTCATCTTGTAAACCACCTAAATGACTGCATATTCCCAAAACACGCAGTACTTTTTTTTTTCCTTTTTAAAAAAAGTTTGGATGAGAGAAGAAAAAAAAAATCGTAGAAAAATAAAGGTAGCACTTAAGAATTCTGTTAAAACTCCAGTGCAAAAGCTTTTGTAATTCTCATGATTCTGACTGAGGTACCAGCAAGCTGTCTGAAGAATGCTACATAAACTATACTTTACCTCTACTGATCTCACTGATGTGTAATGCAATCCGTCTCTGTGCCACATCTCTTGCTAAGCCCAAGTAACCATCAACATCCTTGTTTGCAAGTCCTAAATTCTTTTGCAGCAATGGCTATTCTATGATTCTATGATTTCAGTGCATGGGTATTAAAAAAATTTTAAAATTCTCAATACATTCTGACTGCCTGTTATTCATAAAAACCATAGTGCAGATATGGAACAAAGTTAATAAAAAAGAAGTCTCAGCCAAATGGATAAAAGCAAGATTAAAATAGTAACCTGTATTCCAACATATGAAAATATCTGAACCATTGTATGTATAGTTAGAGAATTTCTTTCAGGCCTGGTTCTGCCCAGTTACGTTTAAGGAAGTGTGTTTAGAGTCCATATGATCAAGATGTTAAGGATGCAAGACCACAGCAGAAGAACTGAAGGGATTATCTGCATCGGTGTTTACTACGCAGCAGTTCAGGGAAGTTTTACCACTGAAGCTTTTCACCTTTCCCAAGAGTTCCTCCAGCCTTTTTGTCTCAGAACATAAGCAGTCATGATACTAGAGCAAATTAAGATGTCTAGTTCCAGAGGCTATACTCATGCAAGTATTCAGAAAACTCAAATATGAGTTCAACAAATTAACTGTGGCATGTAACTTAACCTTTGCCAAACAGGACTAGAAGGTGGCCAATACAATGCCGATTTTTGAAGAATCTTCCAAGGGCCACAGCAGAGTCTATGAACCAGTAAACCCAATCTCTGTATTGGGCAAATTAATAGACGTTACAAAGAACAGAACCATTAGGCACAAGAATATACATTCCAGAGCAGGAAAGAATTTTGGTAGAAGGAAGCAGTACTTTAAATGCTTCGAGAAAGGTCCAAAGATCTTTAAAGACAAGAACATATCACGGGATAAGAAGGAAGGTCCACTCAAATTAATGTCTGGCTTAAGGCTACAAAAGAAAGGGTAGGAATAAATATTTAATTTTGGCAAAGAGAGTAATCAGTTAAATCACTAAGGAATATGTATTCATTCATCTTTAGAAGCAACAGAGAGGGCTAACAGCTGGGGGGGGGGGAGATGACAGAAATTACTGAGGATAGTAAATAAAAAAAGACAACTGAAGAATCACTGAAAGACCTCACAGCTGCTCGAAACTTAGTATGATAAATCATCAATTGAATTCAGTATCAATAAAAGCAAGGTAATCCATACAAAGGAAATACAACCCAAATAAGAAAAAAATACAGTGTGCTCCCAATTTGTTATGCTGCTCAGGAAACACTGGAGTTGTTACACACAGTTCTATGACATTTGCTCAACAATCAAGAGTGGTCAAAAAAGAACAGAATTGGGACTTACGGGAGAAAAAAAAAAGAAACAGAGAACAAAAGCAGAAGTCATCATTATATCACTGATAAACCAGGGCATCCTACCATTAATATACTTTCATTTAAAAAAAGAAATTGGAACAAAAAAAGGGAACAGTAAGCCAACAAGGATGTTTAAAGGTAAAAAACACTGCTTCTGTACAATAACAGAATGTGAAGATGCTTCAGCTGCGGAACGAAAGGACTGAATTTAAATGATAGCATCAGAATCACATGCAGCATGCTGAAGAACAGGAAATATTTCACTGTTTCTTATACTACAGAAACTATGGAGCACCAAGTGAACTCATCAGGTTTAAACACAAAGCATGTTTTCATACGTCATAATCATCATGGTACTCAGTGCTATAGAACACAACGTGAAATTCAGTGAATGCAAAACGATCTGGGAAATTTATGGCAGAAAGCTATACGAAGGGTAGTTAAACACGTAGCCTTTGGCTTTGGGAGAAATTAAGCCACAGATTGCTAGACAGGCACAGTGAAGTAATATCAATGCACAATTACTCTGTTACACTTTCAAGTATGAGGTTCCACTCATGTCAGACGACTATGCTACCATCCATTAGATGGACCTTTGTTTTGATCCAATAAAAATTCTTATATTATGTACAGTATCGTCTGAGATTCAATATCATGTTTTTACAACAGTGTTTGACTTTGTCTAGAGAATAACAGTAATCAAAAGAATGAAAATGGGAACCATTCAGAACAGATTTTTATGCTGGTGTTTAAAAAGTGCAGAAATTTCAAAGAAGTTCTGAATAATCAAGTAAACAAATGGTATATTAACTTTATGCATCTTCTTTTACAAAAATATATATATATTCATAGGCTTTTTCTTAGTATCTGCAAGATACATCCAATACTGTAGTGATTTGCTTATGAGTACAGGAATTTATCTGAAAATAAGTAAGAAGTCTTCAAGGAAGACTGTTCTTCACGCATCAATTTTTTCAGAAGTACTGCTACACATGCTAGGATTAAAAAGGTTGTTTGACTCCATTTTTAAAATGGATATAGGTAAGTAATACCTAAGGAGGATATAGTACTTGCTGCAAATCTGAAAAAACCTATATTTCTTTCTCATGCAACCAATAATTACTTTTACACTAAAGCACTGTTCAAGAGAAGAGAACAGGTATCTACGTCATGGGATCCCCGTTCAAATTTAAGCTAAGGAGTGAACATCTCACCACAAGAATCAGAAAATGGCTGGATGTTGTCAGAACATGATCAATTGCACTGGGTCAGTGTCCAGAGATGCAATTCCTCTAAGCATGGATGCTAAGTAGAGACTGATGGTTCTCGTGTTGGAAGAGAGAAAGGACACGGAGTATCTAACACAAGAATATTAATCCCTTGCCACTCGCCATGCCTAGTGGCCCTAACCTAATAAGTTATTCTTTATATAGAAAACATTCCCCTTCCCGGAATTTTGTAGAGCCGAGGGACATAAGGTATGGCAGGAATGAGAGAAAGGCAAGAAATCAGAAGGGCAAATAGTAATCAAGACACAAGTGCACCATGAATTTAAACTGTTGTAAAAGAATAGCTTCTGTTACCTACTGCTTTCTAATAGTTAAAAGTATCTATTTGCCCCTTTTTACGATTAATGAGCATTGAACTCAAGTTTTCATAAGTCTAATAACACCATGTTTTGTCCACAAATGTACATGTTTAGCTTTGATGTATGCATAAATGTATATGTAAAATTAGATCGCTTCCACTACCACTCCCTCCTACATATATTGCTTTACATGCTCTACACTGACTTTCATCTGCTGTAGTTAAGCAACTTGTTTCAGGACATTATAAAATCCTTAACTTGTATTATGGAAATGAGTTTTCTAGAAAAGTACAGTGGAAACATTTTTCTCTCACATTCAAAAAACAATTTATCATTCAAATGAAAAGCAAACAGTATTCTGGAACTGCCTTCTCAATTCACTGGGTATACTGGGTTCCGTCAATCCCTCCAAAAAACGAAGACTATTCTTTTCAGTTTAAGGGTTTCTTTTGTTATGTGTCACAGCTAACATGCCCTGAAATAGTAATTACTTCTACAAAACGTATAGACTGGGTACTCAGAGAAATCTGCCTTTGCCAGAAAGAAAAATCCAAATAAATCAGACAAGAAAGATTTTAATATGTATATTAATGTCAAGAGATACAAATGACTGTTCTTGTTTCCCTTCTTTATTATTGAGGTGCTCTATTAGCAATCCAGAATATCAACATGCCTAAGCGTGATGATGAGTTTTGATTGCCAGCTTAGAATTAATCACCCAACCCTACCCATATGAATTCTTAAAGACCTGTTTGGGTGTGGTTTTAGTTAACATTTTCTGATTTCTACCCTCATTTATTAGTGAAAGCCTCTTTATGTTACTACCTAGTGTTGTTCAAGTCATTCATGCTGCACCTTCAGGTGCAGAGTATCTTTAGGCAGCTGACAGCTACAAGATAAACTCATCAAGCAATGACTTATTATTCACCAATAACTTCCTATGGAAGCATTCCAAACTAGTCAGAAATTCATCAAGATTCATCAGTATTTAGCCCAAACAGAAGAGCTGTTCAATAGTGCACAACAGCATTACATAAAAATTTTCTCCAGCACAGTATTTATCATGAATATTGACCTGCATCTATTACTCAGTTGTTTTTATATAGGAAGCTTTTCCAAGAATAGCTTCACAAGCTATAACATCCTATAGACAAATCTATTTAGCAGACTTGCCTAATAAGCTTGTAGCAGCTTCAAGCTGCTTAAATGAAATATAATGAGACAGTCAGCTCCGAAACATACAGAAGTCATTTGACACTACATTAGCAACCCTATTCAGGAAAAAACCCTTATGTTAACATCTCTACAGCATCATAAGTTATCACTATTAAATATTTGTATATTTTAATACAGGTACAGTAACTCACATATTTTGCCTCGAACTTCTTGGCTAGCATTTCTACTTCATGCCGCTCACGTTGTTCATCATTAAACGGATCTTCCGAGTGAACCGATTTCTTCTGAAAAACACAGAAGTTAATATTTTCATTCCATAAGAAACATACAGAATGCATCTAATAAAAACCTAATAAATGTCAATAAACAATGCTGATGACTAAGCAGTCAGAATTTATACTAAGAGAGTCCAAATACTTACTTTATTCTCTAAAAATTAGTTTGACCCATTCAGTTATCATTCAGTTACTTTTCTTCTAATGAGAACACAAACAGAAAAGTTAAGACTCAGATTTATATTTTCCCAAGCATTCCACTACAACCTCAAGTGAAAGTATAAGCATAAGAGAGAACTATGGCAATTTGAGGTTCAAAGAGAAAGAACTCTCTGTAAATACAGCTCCTTTTCACTTCTGCTTCCACTGGTGCCTCTCATTGGCACTGTGATCCTTCTAGCTACAACACACAAGATGTACCTGGTACGCTAATCAGCAGGGAGGCAGCCACAAGACTAAAAAGCTCAGTAAGTTACAACCATAAGTAATGTAACTCCTTTAACTCTTGTAGCGTTATTTTTCTCTTCAGGTAGTTTCAGTAATCATAGCACGAATTCTACAAGATTGCCACTACGGCAGCCAAAAGGACAACAGAGATTTAATATTCCAGCTGTACAAGTAAGTAGGAAGTACCCCCCCCCCTTTTTTTTTGAGAAAGAGGTTTTCACTGACACAATTCCTGTCAATGAACAGTAATCAAGGGTATACATAGTGCTTTTTTTTTTTTTGAAATAAGGTATGGCAGAAAAGCAGGGGTACCTTCTTCAAGTTAAGAGTTCACATAGAATACAGTAATTATTGGAAAGGGGGGGAAGGTACTAGGATGCTAAAATATGGTGGAATGGAGTTCCATTTTATGGAACTTTATGGATGGCAACTAACTTTACTGCACACGGACCACTCATCAATGAATAAACGAAGATTTATGGTAGACTAAGACAGAACAAAAAGCAACGCTAAGTTCAGAAAAGCAAGATCCTTCCTCCACAGTATGAAAAGCCAATATATTGACTAAACATGACCAAATAACAACAAACTAGCTCAACAGTATCAAGACCAATGTAATGAGGAAGGTAAGCTGAGCAAAACTGCAAACGCCACATAATTATCTTACATTTTCTAAACTGAGTACTTAGAGAAAAAATTAATAGAGGTTATAGTTAATCCTGAAACATAAGTTTAAGTTACACATATATTTCCTGCAGGCATAAATATAAAATACTGCTCAATTCACGCAACACCGTTTTCTCTGCTTTTAGCTGGGAAAACCTATTCCACGTCGTCTTCTAGGCAAACGTATTTTTTTAAATTGTGAAATGAGACAAGGTTGAAGCCAGAGGTCAGGCAAAATTTAGTACTTAAGTGTTAACTTGCTTCTCTCCACCAAACTCTCAAAGCTGGAGCTGACTATCACTTTGATTAGTTAAGCACTATTGGAATCTCAAATTCAAGCAAATTTTAGTTTTGACAGTTTCTGAGGGCTCTGATGGATGGCTCTCAGACTTTCCAGTAACTTTAGACATTACTAGTTCAGCATCTTTACAGCCCGCTTGACAGAAGCCGACTTGGGCTTCTGGCTCACCTGCTTTGAGCTAAGTTTTATGCACCACGCTTCAATGGCACCAACAGAAAAGGGAGAGCACTTTCACTTCTGCCAGTTTAAGAGGCAAATAAACTCTTCAACCACACTAATTTACTACTCACATCCAAAAACTTTACATAATTAATTCCTACAAAAAGATGAACTCTACCAACAGCCCTATCAAAGGATGGTATCTTTATCAAGGCAAAAAGCAGGACAGGGACAGTATGAGTTTCTAACAAACATTTCCACTAGCTTCTGATTCAGGCTAGAAACCCAAATTTGGAATTAAAAAAAAAATAGAAGTTGCACTCATCCTGTCAAATAAGTTTTGGGATTGTCTACTGTTTAATTAAGAGACCTATTAAAGCAAGGTTTGAAGTTATTCCTGTGCACCAGTCCTTGCCTTCCCAGAACAGCCTGCCTCTGGAGAACCTTTCTTGGCTGCTCCAGTTCCAAGCAACACTACAAGATAGAAAGACAAGCTCCTAATTTTGTGATGTTGAACTTTAATGGCAATAGTTATAAGGAAGTTGAGCAATTTGTTGTAAAAGATAAGGAGTCAACAATACCTTTCAGAAACCCCATCAATCTTCACCCTACAAGAACAGTTTGCGTAGCTAAGTTTATATGAACGGTTCATTTTAAACTGAATCATTACTAAAACAACAACCAATTTAGAAACCTAAAACTCCACTTAAAACCACAGCATTAACTGCTGACTAGTTACTACCTCCTTGGAAAGAGCAAATCTCAGATTCTGCAGAGAAGTGGTAGAGGCCAGGCATTTCTTGGTCAAGCTTCATTTTAACAAGGTAGTTTTCTCAGCTGCATTAACTGGTATAAATCACCACAGCTATTCTACTCCACAAGCAAGATCAGTTTTCCATTCACAATTTTTTTTCTATTTAGGACTTTGAACAGGTTACATAATTTGTTGGTCTGAGGGTAAAAAGACAGATGTCTGTCATCCTAAGCCTCCTGCATTGTGGAGAGCAAATTCTCCTCTTGTATTCGCTTTAACTATGAAGGAACCAGTATGCAGTAATATTATTGCTGGATAAAATGTGTTTCCCCTCTCTTTCCATGCTGATTAATACAAGATTTTAAGTCCTCCCTACCATGTCAGAGTAGCTTTTCCAGCTTCTACCATATAGCAAGAAGTTACTGACAGGCCAAGTACACATCAGTTTTTAAACGAGAATAAAAGTGCAGAATCACTTTTAAAAAGATGACAATTTATAACACTGTTTTACGTAATCAGCTGATTGTTCCACACAGTGCAGCAACAGAGAAGCCACTATGATCCATTCATTTCAATTTGGACTGTACAGAGAGCTGAAAAACTTCCACAATTTCTTATAAAGCATTTCAGTCACTATTTCTACCTTGAAAGCAGTCTCTGATCCCAATTACACCACAAATCCCCTAAATCAATGCTGCCCCCCAGAAGATACAAAATTTGCATCAGAACTACATAGTCATTTTTCCCTGATTATGTAATTAACATATTACCAACCTACAGAAAAAGGCAGTTACAGAACTGGGAACTGCCAAGGGGCAAAGTCAACCTCCACATACTGAATCACTTCTAAACACGAACACAATTTTCACCTTCATAAAGGAACTGCTCAGAAAGATGGCACTTCACAGAGCAGCAGACGACTGCGACAACAACTCAGAGGAGTCATAACTGGCACTTTTGCCCACAATAGCTGTAGGACAGGATGAGCAGAAGGAACCTTTTAACTTGCATCAGAAGATCTCAGAGGGATTAAAGTCAGAGTCATTTGATTTTTCTGCCTTCCACATTTGAAAACAATCCAGTTCTACATCCCTCCTACTATACAATGAAAAAGCGAGCAGGCTGCTAAGTATAGTTACGGCATCATCATGAGCTAGAAACACTTTGGTTCATAAAACAGAGGTTTTAATCGTTCTTGAGTTTGTGCTGGATGTAAAAATCCAATGGCGATATCAGTACTGGTATCTGAGGTTTGCTTTTATCACCAGAGCTATCACCACCTTCTCAGTAGCAGTTATTTCCTTACCCTCTGCCCTTTCCAAGATGATGTAAACTTTCTCTAAAATTGTTTGTATACCAGAATTAAGAGGAGCCACAACTATTTAAATCAAGTGCAACTTCACCGGTATCCTCAACTCACTAAGAATGAGTGGCTTAAGTGTGACCAGCTTAAGGGCACGCTCCTCTCCTCCTTACTTGAACACTGGGTCCAGTTGACTGGCTAATGCTGCTTGCTTCTTAAAGTTGTCTGCACAAGCTTTTCTCCTTTAAACTCAAAAGTAGTTCGAGTACCACATATTTTCTGGTTGGGAGGAACAGGAAAAAGGAAAGTACTTTTTTTCTTGAATGAAGTTCATAACAGTCACAGGTGAGGTTATAGTTTCAACATTAACTCTCATTCATCCCTGCCCCCCCAACACTGCAGAAACTCATCTCCAAGTCTGCTAATGCTCACTTGACTGCTTCTCAGAGCTTGCAGCAGAGCCAGGCTAATAACTCTTCATTAACCTGCACACAGCCTACAAACAATCCGGAAAACAGACCGGCACGGGAACAGTTTCGTTCAGCTGCCGGAAAGAGCTCCCAGGCAGGGAGGATGCACCACCACCGCTCCCGGGGCGGGCAAGGCGCGGGGGGCAGAGCTGGGGCAAGCGGGGCACAGGACACCGGCGCTCCCCCGCCCCTGCTCGCAGCAAACGCCGGCAGCTCCCGGAAAAGCCACCCGGGAGCCCTCGGCCAGCTCAGGGGCGACAAGCGCGAAGCCTCCCCTGCCCCCCACGGGCACAGGCGCACCCTCAGCCCCAGCAGGAGCCCGCAGCGACGGCGAGGCCGCCGGACTGCCCCTCCAGGGCGCCGCCCCGCCGGGCCGGGACCACCCCCGAGCAGGGCGGGGCGACCGAGAACGCTACCGGCAA